GCCCGTCTCTATTAGAGCTCGAGTCGCTGAGGGACGCAGTAACCACAACACTTAATGTCCGCTCAACGCAAAAAGGACGAGGAGGGGGGGGCAGGAACAGGATGATGATGCATCGGGGAAGCGGCTCGATGTGGAGCCCAGTTTGCTCCGCGCCGGCGTCGCCGATACATCGGCGATGCGGCGCGATTCTCTGACTACACATCTTCTCGGACCCTATTTGGGAAGCCTCCAGTGGAGGTGGAGGAGGAGGAGGAGGAGGAGGAGGAGGAGGACAGGGAAGGCTCGACGTATTCCACGCGGCCGTAGTGTTTGCGTGGGGGCTTCCAGGGATCCGGGGGGAGTACGAGGCAGTTGGAGGAACGTGGAGGAAGAGGAGGACGACGAGGACGACGCTGTGCAGTTGTGATGATCCCCACGGTTCCAGGAAAGTGGAAAAGAAGGAGGAGGAGGAGGAACAGGAACAGGAGAAAGAGGATGAGGAGGATCACTGACTTATCTGGCAGGACTACGGGCGGGCCGCCGTTTGACAGTTCTTCGGGATTGGCAAAGGCGCTGTCAAATGGGGGGCACCCTTCGCTTTGGGACACTCCCAGCTCGTAACCAGCTCCTTCTCCCTGCCCCTTTCCTCATGTTCCTGTTCCTCCTGCCGCTCGTCATGGCTACCACGGGCGAACCGTTGTTACCCCCCTCCGTTCCCGCGCTCACCCTCGGTCCCAGGAGCGCGCCTACCACTTAGACCCGCGCAGCGCCGACGCGATGAACAACCTGGGAAGCATCTGCCGCACCCAGGGCGACCGCCTGCGCGCCGCCGCCGCCCTGCTGCTGCTTCTCCGCCTCCTTCGCCTCCTCGGTATTTGTTGGAAGGTCCAGGGTGTCCGGGGCCAGTTCCCTGGTCGTTTAAGCCCTTTGTGGGCAGGGAGACACCTGGCCACGAATAGAGAGGTTTTTGCTCGAGGATGCCTTCATCGCCCAGGATCGGCCTAGGGCTGGGTGTCCTCCAAATCGTCGGCCCTGGAGTCGTACTCACTGAGGGGTTGATCATGTCAGTAGAATCCCAGTGAAATTCTTCTTTTCCTCCTCCTGGCCCTGGGCATGACCCAACGACCCCGCATCCGGAACTACCCATAGGGACTTTGCACAGCTTGGGCCACCGTCGCCGCTGCTGCTGATCTGTCCCGGAGTGCCCTGACCCTGCTTCCTCTCCACGACTTCCTCCTCCCAAAGCACCCCAAGCTGCCCGAGGTCACGGTTGCACCCTTGCCTGCTTGTATAGCGGCTGGGAGTTCGGAGTCTTCGGTGGGGCCCGACATCTCTTTTCCTGCCTGCGCAGGCAGGCAGTCGTAGCGCTGATGCGAAGAGCGAGTGCCCCCCGCCAAGAAGGGCAGACTTCATGTCATCGTCGCCGGGCTCCGCCGCGCACCGTGAGTCGCACGTCGTAGAACATGTGTTTCGGCATGTGGCGGGTTCCAGAAACGGACTTCGCCTTCGAGGATCGGAGGAGATGCCATTTCTTCCCCGGCGAAAGGCGGTGGAACCAACCTGCTGTTGGGCCCTCGCTTTGAAGAGACAGCGCCCCGCGTTCCTTCCTCTCCTCTCCCCCTCCTCCCCCTCCTCCCGCCTCCCCATCCCTGCCTCTGCCCTCCGCATGTCCTCACACGTCGACACACCTCTCATACGTTTCGTGACCCGATGGGGAGCTCCACCGAGGGCCCCAGTGGAAGGGCTCGCATGGCGCCACCGCACCATTTTCGGCACACCCCTCACACGTTTCGTGGCCCCACGGGGAGCTCCACCAGAGGTCTCAGAGGCAGGGCTCGCAGGGCGCCACCGCACCCATGTCGGCACACCCCTCGCACGTTCCGTGGCCCCACAGGGGGCTCCACCGAAAGCCCCAGTGGCAGGGTTCGCATGGCGCCACCGCACCCATGTCGGCGCACCCCTCACACGTGGCGTGGCCCCAGAGGTTGTGATCACATGGGTCCCGCGCCACCCAGTGCGGTGCTTCGTGGCCCCACTAAGGGGCTCCACCGAAGGCCCTTGTGGTTGTGATCGCATGAGTCCCGCGCTACCCATTAAGGCGCTTCGTGGCCCCATAGGGAGTTCCACCGTAGCCCCCGGTGGTTGTGATCACATGCGTCCCGCGCTACCCACTACGGCGCTTCGTGGCCCTATGTGGAGCTCCACCGAAGGCCACAGTGGCTGTGATCACATGGGTTCCGCGCCACCTAGTATGGTGCTTCGTGGCTCCACAAGGAACCCCACCGAAAGCCCAGGTGGCTGTGATCACATGCGCCCAGCGCCACCCACTACGGCGCCCCGTGGCCCCCTGGTGAGCTCCACCGAATGCCCAGTGGTTGTGGCCACATGCGTCCCGCGCCCCCCAGCACGGCGCTTCGTGGCCCTCTGGGGGCTTGCACCGAAGGCCCCAGTGGCTGTGATCACATGGGTCCCGCGACACCTAGTACGGCGCTTCGTGGCTCCACAAGGAATCCCACCGAAGGCCCCGGTGGCTGTGATCACATGCGTCCCGCGCCACCCACTACGGCGCTTCGTGGCCCCCTGGTGAGCTCCACCGAAGGCCCAGTGGTTGTGGCCACATGCGTCCCGCGCCCCCCAGCACGGCGCTTCGTGGCCCTCTGGGGGCTTGCACCGAAGGCCCCAGTGGCTGTGATCACATGCGTCCCGCGCCACCCACTACAGCGTTTGGTGGCCCCTTAGGGGCTTCAACTGAAGGCCCCAGTGTCTGTGATCACATTTTCCCCGCGCCACCCAGTGCGGCGCTTCGCGGCGCCATAGCGAGCTCCCCCGAAGGCCCCAGCGGTTGTGATCACATGCGTCCCCTCCCGCCCATTTCGGCACACCGTTCACACGCTTCGTGGCCCTCGCACGGAGCTCCACCGAACGCCCCAGTCAGTGGCTGTGTTCGCATGCGTCCCCCCCCGCACATTTCGACATCCCCCTCACGCGTTGCGTGGTCCCATAGGGAGCTCCACCGAAGGCCCCAGTGACGACGTTCGCGTGACGGCCCCACTCCATTTCGGCACACCCTCACACGTTTCGTGGCCCATATCGAGCGCCGCCGAAGGCCCCCATTGCTGCGCCGGCATGCGTCCCCGTCCCATTTCGGCACACCTTTTACATGTTTCGTGGCCCTATAAGGAGACCCACCGAAGGCGATACCCACAGAGGCGATACTCACAACTGCATATGGATGGGCCCTTCGTCCAGATATGTTTTGAACCCGCCATGTGGTAGTCATGTTGAAATCGATATTCGGCCTGTTTCCGGTTTTCCGCCACCTCCTCCTCGTCCACCTTTGTTATTGAGCAGCTTTGGGTCTCACTCGACGCTGGGGGCGGTCCACGCCATGCCGCAGGCTAAGCGATGGCTGAGCCGCGGCTAATCATGCTGGCGCCCTGGCACACCCAGAGATTTCTAAGAACCTTTCCCTAGGCGGGCGGAGTAACTTCATACGCTGATCCAGAGTCGACCTCGCCATCCCTGGGGGCTGAGAACCCTGAAGTTGTCGTCAGTTTCTAGGGTTGATAGGGGGGCCCCGCGGAGTGGCGCTTTGCGCAGATTCAGATTCGACCCCCCCCAACGTTTGGGGGGGGTGCGAGCTGCGAAACTGTCGCCGACTTACTGCGAAACGGTCGCTGATTCCGAGCGCTGCTTGGGGGCCCAGCGGGGTGACGTCGTACGCAGATTCAGACCAGACCTCGCCATCGGTGCGGGGCTGCAGCCTCTTTCGAGGACAGTTGGGGATTCCAGCGGGGTGACGTCGTACGCTGATGCAGATCAGACCTCACCGTCTCTGGGGGGAGGAGGGGGCCTGCGAATTGCGAAACTGCCGCCACGTTCGAGGACTGCCGGGGGTCCAGCGTAGCGACGTCCCACGCGGTCAAGCCTTGATTTCCTTCCCCGCGGGCCGCCCGAAGACGTTGCGGCGCGCCTGCGAGCGTTGAACTACCGCGCTGAAGAGGCGCAGGGAGGACGTTGGGAAGCTGACAGGCGAGCTCGGCCTCGTTCGTTTCTTGCACTGGCTATGGACGGTTGATCCTTTCGGGTGCCAGGGCGGGATGGCGCAGGCCGCGCTGCTTGTCCAGCGCGCCACTGGACACTAATCGCCGCCCTCCTTCCTCAACCCGCCTCTTTCGTTGGCGTCCTCTTCCCCCTCCACCGCCTCACTGCTGCTGTCGCGGTACCGTTTCGGCCTCTCTTCTGTCCTTCTCCTGCCCCTGGTTTCCACCCGCATTGCCTCTTCGATCTTGGGGCCCCATCCCTCGTCCTTCTGTTGGTGTTTTGTGAGTCTTGCAGCGCGCCCGCTTCCATAGCTTGCACAACAGATGGTAAATCCTGTGCTGGCATCAGCCATCATTTTCTGAACCAGCTCCTGTCGCCACTCAATGCACATGGGTTGGGTACGCCACAGGGTAGTTATGTGAGGACCGAATGCGTCCACTGATGTTCCTTCGCCGGCTCAGCGCTTCAGGCGCCCGTGCTGGTACGAGGCTGTGGGGTGGTTGGGGATTATCCGTGCGTGAGCGCACTCGGGCCGCAGGGCGTGGCATTTCCATGTGGCCGAGATCGGGTTCGTCGCAGGTCCTCTGGTTACCCGCGTCGTATAGCAGACTCCCTTCCTCTTCCACCCTGTGCTCCTCGAACGATAGATTCACCATAGTGGTGCGAGGCTGTGGGTTTGGGCGGGGATGAGGTGGCGGAGGCCTATTACTACCCATTGTTGCATGGCTCCTCCCTTCCCTCCTCCTCTTCCCTCTGCAGTCCCTCGGAGTGCGTTTTGGGTCCTGTTTCTTTGGTGGCTGCCTGACTGCGTCACGGGGTCCTCCCTGGCCCGCCCCTGGTCCCGCAGCCTCAGGTGGCTCAAAGTGCGATTCGCCTCGTCGCGTTCCGCACGGTTGCCCCACTTTTGTCGCGGTGGATCTGCAGCACAGGCGGGGCGCAGTTCACCCGCCACCCGTCCCCAACGACCGCCCAGCGAGATGGAGACCGAGTTTTCGCACATCTTGCGGGAATTCAGCGTGGACCAGTCGATCTGCACCATGCTGGCCCAAAGGGCTTGCTTCAAGCTGTGGCAGTTCGTCGAGCTTGTCGACGACATCAAGGACTGGACGGGGATCCGGGCGTCGATGGAGCCATCAACCGCGAATCTGCAACACGCGGCTGCGATCCGGCGCGCGTTTAATGCTGCGGCGCTGCGGGATGAGGAGCGGGCGCGCTTGGGCGAGGACAAGCCTGGTGAAGACATGGATTCGCCGATCGACTTGGTCACGCGCAAGACTCTCGTTGAGGCCCACAGTGAGCACTACTGCTTCCCTACGCAGCTGGCCCGCCAGTCAAGCGATTCGCTCCCTGGCCGCCTTAACCGTAAGCGGGAGTGGGGCACTTACACGGTCATCAGCCTGGCTAAGGTCACGCGCGTTGCCTCCCAGTGTGTACACACGAAAAAGTTCGAGTTTGTCCCGGGGATCGCCTTCAGTCTGCGGGCACACGCCCATCTCCCAGGTGCTGGGGGCAGCAAGTCTTCGAGCGTGGCGCAGTGGCTGCTCCTCAAAGTTCGGATCCTGTACAACGGCTATTCTGTCACCGGGATCAGGAAGTGCAGGAACAAAACGAAGGAAGAGGTACTCTGGTGCTCGCGGCCGCTGGTGTCACACTTCGTGAACACCCTGGTGGATTTGGCTACGACCAACATCCTGGGCTCCAAGGTCAGGCCCAACCTGGTGCCTTTGCAAGTCGCCGAGCTGCAGTTCCGCGCGCGGATCGTGGAGCTGTTGAGGCAGACGCCAGCGGACCAGCCTATTTCGTTCGATGACGCTTTCCAGGCGGCGTTCGTTGAAACACAGAGCCTGTTCCGTTTCACAGCCCTGCCGGCCGCGGCGACGCAGGCAATTGCGGGCGGGGGCCGCGGTGTCGGGCAGCCGCAGAAGCGCCAGCTTAACGGCTTCGACGAGGGTGCGGTAAGCAGGCGGCGCACGAGTGCGGGCAGGTTCCGGCCAGGGGAGGGGCGGCGCGTCGGTCCTCGGCGGCGGCGAGTCGCGCCCAAGGCCGAGGTTCGCACGCTTCGGCGCGGATGGTGACCTCGTCTGCCTAGACTACAACACCGTCGGCTGCGCCCCGTGCAGATGCAAACACAAGCACCTCCAGCAGAAGGTCGCGTATTGCTGCGGCATCTGGGGTTGCGACAAAACGCACTCCAGGTGGGGGCGCGAGCGATGGCCTGCGGGCCTGGCGCCAAGTGCGCCGCCCAAGCCCGCGCTGGCGATTGGTGGCGTGCCGCGGAGGGACAACCCCCTCTGCTTCAAGCCAGAAATTGCAGCGGCGCGTCGCGCGTGCCTGCGCTTGGCCCGCCGTGCCCCCCCCAGGCGGTGCACGCGGCAGGTCTCGCAGACTACTCTAGCAGACAGCCCCCTGTTCTGTCGTCGTGACTTGCCGCCGGCGGAATTCATGGAGCACGCCAGCACGCCTTGACGAAGGTTGTTCAACCGCTGGCGCGGCCGCGCCCCTGGCTGGCTGGCCCAGCGCGTCCTTCGCGCGGCTGGGCTTGGCCGGGAGGTCGTGCAGCATCGATGGAGGCTGTGCTCCGTTCTCGTTCGGAAGCAGGCGGAATCGGTCGCAAGCTACGGCCGCTGGAGGTCCAGCCTCTCGTCCGACCAGGAGCTGCTGCATATGGCGTGGAATGTTCAGTTGCCCCGCCGGCCACTGGCAGAAGCGGGGCACGGGGACGCGCACTCGCCCCGGGAGCTGCTCGACGGCATGTCCGTCGTGAGATTCGCGGGCGCCAGCGGCGTTCATTCGCTGAAGCCCACCGCGCCTGCCATGTCCGTCTTTGAGATCCGGCGGCAGGTCTCGGCGCGCGGCGCCGCCATCGTCGGGGGGCGCGGCCCCGCCGACGGCCCCGTGCTCGACGAGCGGGCGCGCGAGAAGATGTACGAGGAGTTCGCGCTAAACCTCATGGGCGACACCATTGATACTCTTGAGGCGCGCCCCGGCGCGGACAAGGTCGTCGTTCGCCGCGAGCCCCAGCGGCAGGATGGCGATTTCCGGAATATCGATGATTGTTCGGAGAACAACATCAATGTCATTTTCGGCAGTAACGAGACCCACCGCCCTGCAGGGGTGGATCAGCACGTTTCCGCTGGGAGTCGTTGTGCGCGGGCGCTCGCCTCAAAGGCTTTGTCGCAGACCTGTGGGGACACATCAGACAGGTGCGAGTGGGCCTCAACTTGGCAGTTGCTTTCTGGTGCGCTCGCGCGAGGCGCGCGCGGTTTGGGCGCCTTCGCGGTCGCCCGTTCGGGGCGGCTGCGCGTGCCCATATTTGCGCAAGGCTGCCCATGGCCACGCGCGGTCTCCTGCGACATCACTAGGTGGTACCAGTGCATCACTACCTGGATGATGATCATTGTGTCGAGCCAGACTACAGCGCAGCTCAAGCGTGGAATCTGTTAAAGTTGTTCAAAGACGCATCGCGCCTGAACTCGTTGAGCCGGGTGGTCCTAAGTCCGTCTTGCCTGCCTGTCAGTTCAAGCTAATTGGCATTTGGAGCTATCTCTCCGCTTCGCCGCGCGAGGTGCAGGTCCTGCCAGCTTGCGCCGATGCAATATACAAGGATCTCCGCGCCGTCCGAGACGCAGGGCGCCTGCGCAGCTGGCTCGCAGCAGAGTTGCGCGGCAAGCTGGCTTTCGCCTCGGGGCAACTCTTAGGTAGGTTTGGCCGCGCTGAGGTTGGGCCTCTCAAGCGGCGCCAATGCATCAGGCACGGGTGCCGCAAGGTGAATGGCAGCATCATGGTTGCGATATGCTTCTGGCTCGGCGTTCCCCGGCTGGGCCCATTCCGGGTGGTGCCTCCGGGGCCGAGTGCGCCCCTCGTGGTCGCCATGAGCGACTGCAAAGGCTTCGGCAGTATTGCGGCTGCGACTTGGAGCCCCCTCGCAGAGGGAATCGCGGCCTGCGCGCGGTGGTTCCAGCTCGACCTCCCTGAGATTATCAACGAGTGGGCGCAAGGCGAGGGCGCCGATGTGAGCAGGCAAGTTAACTTGATAGAGTGCGTCGCGCCGGCGGAGCGCTGCAGCACGTGGCCAGAGCTCCTGCGCGCCTCGCTTTGGCTGCACTTCGTTGACAATGGCGGCGCCTTAGGCTGTTTGATCGCGGGGAGTTCGCGGTCCGTAGTATAATGGCTGATGTGGTCGACTACACGTGGTCGCAAGTCACTGCGTTTTCATGTTGGTCCTTGTTTGGCCGTGCCCCGACATAATGCAGTGTCGTTAATAGCCTGTCCCGAAAGCGCTTCGGCGTGGCCATCCAAAACAGCTGGGCTCGAGACCAGCCGGTGCTACCTCCACCGCTGCGCCGGTAGGTGCCCGCCTTTGTCGCGCTCGCGCACAGGGCATGGGTGCCACACCATTCAGTGCCACTTTCCCGCCGTTGCGCTGGGACGTGCTGGCCATTTGTCGCGGTTCCGCACAGGGCAGGCCCCGCCGCTCAAGTCAGTTCTGATTGGTTTCAGCATGTTTTGCGGCGAATGTCTTCGCAGTCCTGTTTTCGCGCCCTCAATGGGCGCCTCATCGCAAGGCTGGAGCGCACGATCCCGCGGTGAAGGTGCAGTGTTGCGTGTCCTCCCACGAGCTGAAGACAAAACGATGGAACAATTATGGCTTCAGGTTCAAAGTCGCTTCCGTCTGGGGGGGCCGAACGGTCTTCCTCTGTTTTCGAAATTGCGTGGTGTTTTTTTTGGGGGGGGGGGCCTTTGACTTAAGAGTGTAACTCACTAGGCGGCTCTACGGGGGATCTCCTGACAGTGCCTACGCGCAGATAGCGATTATGATTTTTGTAAGTGTATATTATATATTATATGTAGAATTTGTTTGGTGCGTATGCGTACCACAATGTTTCAAAAGTCGCTTCAGTTTCAGGAAGGGCAGAGGGAAGCAGTTCATCACACGCTTTGGAAACAAGTCCGACCGCGAAATGTTGCACAGCATGCGGAACCGATAGATGCGATTCACTGTTTTGCCAACTTGGGCCGTACCGGGCGGGTTTTTATTTCAAGGACAGCCACGCACAGGTGTAGCCAACGGATCGGCGGCGCAAGCGTTCCGCAGTAGCGAACAGCTTTGAACCGATCCGTTGGATCTCTCTCCTGCTTGTTCTCGCGCTCGTGATCGCGCCGTCTCGGGGCTCTCTTGGGTCTTATTGGGGACGTCATGGCGGTATAACCTCAGGAAGGCATTAAGAACCCCCCCCCCACCCCCTTTTCCGGTGGATTATAACGCCCCCGCACCCTGGAGCGTTATGGCCGCACCGGAAGACCTGGCTGAGGGGACTCGGGGCCTAGCTAAGGCCTGCCAAGCGCAGATTTGCTCCTGCCAAGCAGTTTAGCAGGGCCAAGCTCCTGTCCACTCTGAAGACTCTCGTTTTCCTCCTCCTCCTCCTCCTCCTCCTCCTCGTCGTCGTCGTCGTCGTCGTCGTAGGTGGATTTTGATTTCTGTGTGCGGCGGGTGCTAAGTGTATCGTTCGGCTAAAACTGCCCGCCTGGAATATTGAGAAAACCGGGTGCTAAGAATAACCCAGGGGGGTTTCTTAATGCCTTCCTGAGGTTATTCGGCCAGTTTGGGTGATTTTCTTGGGGGCCTCTTGGGCGATATTGCGGCCAGCTTGGAGGCATTTGGGTACGTCGTGGGCTTCTAGAAACGCGTGTCCACCCACGCGCCCACACGGACGGAAGGCTGAGTGGTGGTCGGGAAGCTCGATGGAGACCTGTGGGCTTTCGGTGGCGGGCAGTGTCGACGTCTCCATTGTATGAGCCTCCTTCCGCTTTCTGCGGTGCCTGCCTGACCCCTCCCGTTCTTCCCTGTCGGTATTGTCCCTCTCTCCACCTGCCCGCGGGGTTCTCCTGGTCCGTGGCATCCCCCCCTCTCTTTCCCGCTCGCGCTTTCGTCTTCCGTTGTCGGGTCGTCCCCCCCCCCCCTTTGCTTCCGCGGGCCGCGGGGCGCAGTGTTCCGAGGCAGCCCTCTGGGCACGCTCGGGCCACGTCTCCGGGTGTCGATTTATGTCGGTAGCAAATCGTTGGGGCCTTGCATGCCCTCGAAGGTCCGTCTTTAGCGTCGAGCATCGTCTGGGAGTGGATGAGATAGCGCCGACTTGGCGTCGGTTAGCATCGATGAGCGTCGCTTTAGCGCCGAATAGAGTCGATCCAGCCAGCGTCGATGAGCGTCGATTCGCAAGGGCCGACAAGATGGTATGGGAGGCTGTCGCGAGTTGCCACCGAAGTTTATGCTTCCCCTTTGGCCCCCTCCCTTTCCAAAGGCACAATTGGTACAACTCTCGGGCAACGCGCTCGTGTGTGCAGCGCCCGCTGCCCCGTGCCCGTCGCGCGTGCACTCCGGGGGCCTCGCGCGCAGGACTGCCCCAGTGGCCGGAGGATCGGGCCACCGCCAGGCGGCAGCCCGTGCGCATCTCTGAGCGTTGATTGCCGCTTCACTTGTGTCGAAGAAGAAATCACGCCATGAACGTAAACGTTTGGCGCTCCGCGCGGATTTCTTGGATCCGCGCTGGGCCCCCCTGGCGGCGCCTCCGGCGCTGCCCCTGGCGCGCTCCGCGCGCCAGGGAGGGGGGTCCAGCACAGATCTTAGAAATCCGCGCGGAGCGTTTGTGTTTATGTGTTTTTTTAGTGTGACATGCTCCCAGGACGAGTCCTGCTTGATTGATTGACCCCCTGCTCCTCCCCCTCCTCCTCCTCGTTCTTTCGGTCCTCACCTCCGCCCCGAGATGGGTCCACGACGGCCCAAGAGATCCCCAGGGCGACCCCAAGACCAGCTTCTCCTTTCCCCCCCTTCCTAACGCGGCTGAGGTTCCGCCGCTTCCCCACCCGCGGCGGCGGCCTTTCTGGCCGGACAACGCGGGACGAGGACGACGGACGACGACGACGACGACGACGACGACGACGACGACGCCGACAACGACGCCGATGACGACGACGACGACGACCACGACGACGACGACGACGACGACGACGACGACGACGACGACGACGACGACGACGGACGACGAGGGCGGGCCCACGGCACTGCGCGCGGGAGGCAACTTCGATGCGGCGGTGCAGTGGTACCGCGCGGCGGCGCACGTGGCCCCGAACTGCGAGGTGGCCGCCTCCAACCTGGCCGTGACGCTGGCGCCGTGGGCGGGGAAGGAGGGGCAGCGCAGTTCGGGGGTCACCTCCTTCTCCTCCCTCCTCCTCCTGCTCCCTCCTCTTCCTCGTGCTCCCTCCTCCTCTCCCTCGCCCGTCTTCCTCCGCTCCCTCACATCAGCTCCCCCCTCCCCCCCCCTCCCTCCTCCCCGCGCGCGCAAGGGGAGGGGATTCGCAGGAGGAGGAGGAGGAGGAGAAGGCGGAGGAGGAGGAGGAGGAGGAGGAGGAGGGAGAAGGGAGGAGGAGGGGGAGTGGAGAACGAGACGAGGAAGAGGAGGAGGAGGAGGAGGAGGAAGAGGAAGAGGAGGACAATCATGTGGAGGATGACGTGGAGGAGGAGGAGGAGGAGGCGGAGGAGGAGGAGGAGGAGGAGGAGGAGGAGGACCAGAGAAGCCGTAGCCCTCACGTCCCAAGTCCCCCCCTCATCGGTCTCTGCGTGCAAGTACTCCTGTCCACTGCGGGAAGCGCCTTCATGGAACTACGAGCGCCCGGAGGGCTTGCCACGCAGGCGAAACCCTGGTTTGCAAAGGTTCCACCCTTCATCATTCTAGTTACAAGTCGGCGGCGAGCGAGGGGGGGAACTGAGAAGGAGGAGGCCTTCTCAGAAGGCGGCGGGATTTCTCAGACGCCCTCGCGCCTTCTGAGAAGTTTTGTCTGTCTTCGGGGAACGCTTAGAACAACTTCTCAGAAGGCCGGGGGACCTTCCGAACATTCTGAGAAGGCCTTCTCCTTCTCACTTCCCCCCCTCGCTCGCTGCCGAACAAGGTCCGCAAAGAGAGATGCTGACGAAGTTGATGGGACTGCCCTTCATCCGTGCACAGGTGGCACAGTTTTAATGTTATATGGCCATAACATGTGCTGAAGCCCCCGACACGATCAGCACGTTGAAACGGGGATGTTCTCCATCCGCGTAGCTGTTGCTCATGCTGGATATTCGGGCCATGAAGTTTAAGGAAGAGTCGCATGGTGATAATAAACTCGCCCTGGCTAGTATAGCTGCTACAGCAAATGCGCGCGGCGCTAAGGCGACAGTCGCATATTGAAAACGATTGGCCATCCATCTGTGTAACGGGTGTGAGTTGTTCGAGCTTCAGGGTAGCAGCGCGCAAGGAAGGCTCAAGCGACGAGCCAGGCCCGACCTCCGGACACGTCTGGTGGTGCGACGGGAGGTTCATGCACAATAGAAGAGATTGAGGGTGATGAGGAGGATGGGGGAAGGGGAACCGAGAGGAGGAGGAGGGCAAGGAGACGGAGAACGAGAACGAGTACGAGGCAAGACGAGGAGGTGGACGAGCAGGAGCAGGGGGAGTTTGAGTAAAAGATGGAGGTGTGTGTGGGGGGAGGCACGGGGGGAGGACATCCCCACCCCTCGTCTCACCTCTCTTCCTCTTTTCTTGTATGTCCGTTCTCTCTCGTTTTGTCTTTTCATTCGTTTTCTGCCTCTCTCTCGTTATCTCACTCTCTCTCTCTCTCTCTCTGGTCTCCCCTTCTCTACATCGCAATATCTACATAATGCACCTTCCTTCTGGCTCTCTATCTGTCAGAGAGAGAGAGAGAGTGAGAGAGTCTATCTCTCTCTATCTCTCTCTCTCTCTCTTTTTCTCGCTGTCTCTGTTTCTGTTTTTCTCTCTCTCTCTCTCTATTCCTCTCTCCCTCTCTTTATATTCTGTTTAGTTATCTCTCTCTGCCCCTCCCTCCCGTCCCTTACCATGGCGTATATGTCCTCTCTATTCGCACAGTTGGATGTCGAGCAGCGCAATCTCCCGAGAGGGTGCGCGATGCATCGTAGAGCACGGCGTAGCAGGGCGTAGAAGAGCACGGCAGAACGTAGTATGTCATGGCATGGCGTGGTGTTGCGTAGTGGATAGTTGCATCACAAAGTATTGCAACGCAAAGAATGGCATCGCACAGCGGCACAGAACACAACATGATACACAATGGCGTTGACGATCAAAGCGTAGCATGGCATAGCACGGCGTGGCATTGCGTAGTCTGGCGCTCTTCCGTCGCCAGGTTCAGCAGTGCCCGCAGGGCGCGCCCGCCTTGGCGAGACGGAACCGCCGGCTCAACATGGCGGGTGCCGCGAGCGAGGAGGGCGCGAGCGACTCCACCCGCAACTACGTCGCTCGGAGCGTCCCGTTCGGACAGGCAATGTCGTCGGTTTCCCCGGTCTTCGGCATGGCGGAGGTGTTCGACCTGATGGGGCGCGGCGCGTGGCATTGCCGCCGAGGCTCAGCTGCCTCTCCTCCTCTGCGCGTCGGAGCAGGCCGCCCTGTGGGAGTGGGTCTGAACGTCGGCATGGCTGTTGACCCACCTCCCCGAGCTGCCCTGGGCCTCGATCCGCCAGGCCCCGGCGCGCGGTCAGATCCGCCCCATGTCGCGCCTGGCCTCGCCCGAGTGGATCGCGGTGGCGATCGCCAACGCGAAGGGCGCCGCGGCCCTCGAGGACGCGGATAGCGGGAGCTGGCGCTGGCGCCGAAGTCCGAGGAGAGCGGAGGCAGGGGCGGAGGCCCGAAGCGCCGCGGCAAGTCCGGCGGCGCGTCTCCCCCCGAGTGCGAGCGTGGCCCCCCCGCCCTGACGGCCCAGGAGCTCTGGGCGAAGCGGCCCCGGACCTCTTGCCGCGCGGACGCGCGGGGGGCCACGGGAGGCTGGTTGGTTGCGACAATTCGATGGACGTGGGCATTCGCTGGGGCTTCGGTCTGATCCGCCGCGCGCGCGGGCTCCGCGCGGTCTTCGGCGCCCGCGTCCGCTCCTCCATGCACGCCGCTGGGTTTCGGGAGGTTGCGACTCCTGCTGCGGGTCTGCTGCGCTGCCCCCCGCCCTTCGGGCGGGTTGCTGGCGCCCCCCCGCGGGGCGCGCGCGCTCGCGGGCGATGGCTGCGCACCCGCGTCGAGCACGTGTGGGTCAACGCCGTCGTCCTCGCCCTCTCCCACCTGCGCCCGGGCGAGACGAGGAGCTGCCCGCCGCGCGCCCGAGCTGGGAAGCCTCTCAGTCCGTCCCAGTCCGAGATGGCGCCCAGGCTGAGGAGGCTGGCGCGGCCGATGCGCCGGCCCCTGCAATGGCGCGGCGGCCGCGTTGAGAAGGCCGATGCTCTCCCCAATTACCTCCTGAATGCAGCGCGCGCTCCTCTGGGCGCCTCTGCGCCCCTTCCCGACAGCGAAGTGCATGCCATTGACCCGAGCAAGGCTCTCCTCGCCAAATCCGAGTGCCACTTCGACCCGCTGCACTTCTTGGACCCCTTCTCTGCGGCCACCTTCCTGGAGCCGCGGCTGCTGGCAAGGGGCGGGCCTGGTGCCGGCGCTCTGGCGCAGGCTGCGGGGCCCCCAGCTCGGCCCGCGCCCTCTCGGCCAGCTCGCCAGACCGGCAAGCCCTGCGACCTCCTGCAGTACCCTGCAGCACTTGAAGCAGTGGGTTAACGTGGGGCGTCTGGAGCTGGCGGCCGAGGCCGACTCTTCGCCGGCCCTGCGAGGCACCCTCTTCCCCTTTTTCAAGGACGCGAACACGCAGAGGGTCGTCTTCGACCGGATCGCCCGCAACGCGGCCGAGCTGCCGTTGAGCGGCTTCTCCCAGCTGGCCCCGAGCGCCGCCGTGCTGGCGGGCCTGGAGGTGCCCGCAGGCCACGTCCTGCGCGCGTGGGCCGACGACCTTCAGGACGTCTGCCTGGCCTTCGACTGCGCCCACGAGATGACTCGCACCAACGACGTGGCCCTCCCGCTCCCGCCGAGGCTCTGCGAGGGCTTCGCCGCGCTGGACAGGTCGCGGAGCCGTTGCCGTCGCGGGGGCCGCGACCCTCCTGAGAAGGTGGCCCTCTGCCATGGCGGGCCCATCATGGGGGGCCTGAGCGCGCCCGACTGGGCGTGCGAGGCCCACGCGCGGCTGGCTGCTCGCCCAAGCTGGAGGCCCCCCCCCCGAGCGGCGGGCGCTCTACCGCCACCTGGGTCCCGAAGGAGCCGCCTGGGAGGACGTCGTGCTGGGCGACCGCTTCGGCCTGGCCGTTTACGCGCCTGGCACGCGGGCCTCCCGGCTCGCGATCGAGGGGCCCTTCGCCCGCGCGCGGGGGGGCCGCGCCAATGCTGGCGTGAAGGTTAGCTCGGGCAAGGAGGTAAAGGACGCAGCGGAGACGACGGTCATCGAGGCTGAGTTCCTCGGCCACGACCGGCTCGTCGGCGCCCCCCACGCGCAGGCTGGCGCTGGCCTGGATGGGCCGCGAGGAGGTCGACCTGAGGAGGGGCCCGCGCGAGGCGTTCGAGCTGAGCGGCGCCGCCTGCAACGAGTGCGCCCTGTTCGCCGCTCTGCTTCCGCTGAGGGCCGCGGACCTATCCGCCGGGCGGGGCCCTCGCGCGCTGGCCTCGGACGCCTCGCACATGGCTGGGGCGTCAGTCAAGACGCCCGCCCAGGCGTCCGCCGCCCGCGCCTTCTGGCGTCAGCGCGAGCAGCGAGGCGCCGTTTTACCCTCCTGGCTGGGCCGCCCCGGCAAACCCCGAGGACGGCGGCCTCCTGCAAGACCGGGAGGAGGACGCAGCTCCGCCTCCAGACGCGTTCGGCCCTTCGACCTCGCTTATCGAGTACTTCGACGTGCTGGAGCTCTGTTGCGGGGAGGGGGCCCGGCTCATGGGCTACATCGCTGGCCGAGGCCTTCGCCCAGGCCCGAGGATCGAAATCAAGTGCCGCAAGTAATGGACCCTGGTCAACTCTCGCCTGGCGGAGTGGATTGTCTGGCTGATCTAGCAGAGGCCCGTCTCGCAGGCGCCGTGCTCCACTGCGAGGCACCCGCGGCTCCGGTCAATGTCGCGGCCCTGGGGGTTCGACCGTTCCCCCCCGCTCACGCGGCTGGGCAACGTCCTCTTCAGGATGGGCACGCTGGCGCTGCTCGCGCATTTGTTCCCAGGCTACGGCGCTTGGCTTCACGAGCACCCTCTGACAGCCTACTCCTGGCGCACGGGCATCGTCCAGTTCCTGCTGTCGCACGACGTCGTGGAACGGTTCGACCACTCGATGCGGCAGTTCGGCGCGCCTTGGAAGAAGGAGCCTCCTGGAGGTCCGGGGCCCATGGCTGGCCCCGCTGGCTAGGCGCTGCTGTGGAGGGCGCAAGCGCGCCGTCTTGGAGGGCGGCCTAACTCCCAAGGCCGCACTCTACCCGCACGGCCTCTGCGACGAGCTGGCCCGGCCCGTCTCCGAGAACCTGGGCCAGACGGCCCCGCTGCCTCAGGCGGGGAGGGGGCGCCTCCGGGTGCTGTCGAGGCCCTCTGGCCGAACGACTACGTCAGCGCCGCCCCCTGGCAGCTCAACCGCCGCCGCTTCCACGTGCCTCTCCGCATCGACCTGCTGGAGGTCGACGCGGCTTGTGATGCAGCGGGCGAGCAGGACTTCTGGTTTCCTGATCTGATTGCAGGCACACCCTCGCCCTGGACTCCCGATTCTCTATCGGGGCCATCAGCAAGGGCCGCTCCGCCTCGGCCGCGATCAATTATTGAGCTCTTGAGGAGGCAGCTGGCTGCGGGCACGTACGTCGACGAGTGCCACTTCTCACCGACGCGCCTGCAGCCGGCCGACGCCCCGTCGCGCGCGCTCTGCAACCCGGCGAGCAGCCTGACCCGTGACATCGGAGCCATGGCGACTTTGGCCCCTCCGCCCTGGCTTGCCAGCCTGGAGGCAGGAGACGCTTCGGCGTTTCGCACCTGGGCCGCGCTCCCCCTGCAGCGCCGGCAGCAGTCTCGGCGGGCTGGGCTGGTGACGCGCTTGCGGTGGCGAGGGCTCCTGCGGCTTGCCCCTCGCCCGCGGGCGCGCGATCCCACGCTGGGCTTTCCTGGAGAGGGCCCCTGCGGACTCGCGCCCCCCCGCGGCGGCGGCAACCTGCCATGCCTGGGCGCCTCGGCCGCTGGGCCGCTGCATCGGGCTCCTCGCGCCGCTGCTGCCGCTGGGCCGCGCGGCCGCGCCGCGTCCGCCGACTGACCGCCCCGCGGGGGGGGGCCTGGCAGCAGCGCGCGGCCTGGCGCCAGCGGGTCAGGCGCGCCGCGCGGCCCTCGTCTCGCAGCTCCACCACTGGCTGGCGGGCTGCGGCGGCCCCGGCTGGGACCTATTCATCTTGATGGGCCCTGCGACGGCGGGCCGCTACATAGCCAAACACGGCCAGTTTTTGCACGACGCGATGAGGAGGCGCCGCGACTTCGACGAGACGATCAATGCCGTGGTGGACTCCAGCCGTGCCCTCCGACACCTGCTCGACGCGGCGTGGGCCATCTCGTTCACGTGGAAGCACCTCGTGCCGGGCTCGAACCACCAGGCGACGCTGGAGGCCCTGCTGCTCGCGCCCTCGAGCCCGGCACTGACCTGGGGCTGGTTCTACGTTGCCGGCTGCCTGCTCCTGGGCTTCTTCGACATGATGAGGCCGGTCGAGCCCCTGAGGCTGAGGATCGGGGACCTTGGGCCCCCCCCCTCTCGCTCGCTTGAGCGGTTGCAAGCGATGCGCGCGCACGTCGGCGTGCCGAAGATGAGACGGTTGGGCGCGCGCTGGGAGCATATCAGGACTGCTGTCCCCCAAATTGTGTATGTTTTCGAAGCCCTCTCTCTGCGGTCCTCCACTCGCCCCCCCCTCATGCACGGCGTTGCCCGAGCCTTCAGGTCTTGTCTGGATTCTCTCGTGGACTTGTGCAGAATTTGCATTCGGACAAGATAGGCATCACTCCCGCGCCCCTCCGCCCAGGAGGGGCCACTTTTTAGTGCAGGCTCACTGATTCGCCAGACTGGGTTCAGCTTCTGGCTTCGAGTCGTCTGCCGAGGCCGAGCGACGGCGGGCCCCGCCCTCCCGGCCCCCGTGCTCGTGTTCCACCGCCACTGCGAACGAAGCTCATCGGTGCCCGCTTCGCTCCTCCCGCCGCCGCCCCTTTTTCCACCGTGGGCGGTTTTGGATCGCGGGGCCGGCCCAGACCGCGGCCGGCCCCCCCTTTTTGAGATAGTCTGCAGAGGCAGCGGTGAGCCCGGAAAAGTGCATCTGCCTTGGGATGTAGCGGAGTTCTTCAGCAGAGGAAGGGCATCGCTGAAGGCAGCGGCCCCTCGACGCGCGTGGGCTCTGGCGACGAGCCCTCCCAACCCACCCATCCCTTGGCTAGCGGGACCGGCCCAGGCCGTGGCGGCCTCCTTTTTCAGATAGTTTGCAGAGGCAGCGGTGAGCTTGGAAAAGTGCATCGGCCGTGGGATATAGAGTTTTTTGTTAAAAACATGCGAGGAAGGGCATCGCTATGTATATGTAGATATGCGCGCGTGCGAATTCGTCTCCGACTCTCTCATGATGGTTCTTTCTTTCTCATTATTTCTTCGTTGTTATGTTATCTCTCTTTCTCTCTTTCTCTCTTTCTCTCTCTTTATTTCTTTATTTCTCTCTCTCTCTCTCTTTGTCTCTCTCTCTTTCTCTCTCTCTCTCTCTCTCTTCTCTTGTTATATGCCTGCGTGTCGGAGCAAGGAGAGGCGACGTCAGATGTAGCTGCCACCGCGCACGGGCCCAACGCGGTGCTGGTCGGTAAGATGGGTGCGGAACCCATCCTGGCAGCCACAGGCTAAACTTGCGATGCAGGTAGGCAGGGATCCAGCACCGATCTTGCGGTTCGTAGCGCAACCGCTGCAACATACCTTCAGTCGGCCGAGATTGTTTTTGATATGCTCTGGAAGACCCATTGTGGTTTGCGAATCAAGATGCGTGCGTCGGGCAAGCAACTCATTCAGCGTGCCCTCATCCCCCCTCCTAAGCTTCCACAAGTTTCACGACTAGCGACGCCACCCACTCCTGGATCTAAGACCCAGGTGGCTAAGGCCGAGCGCCAGGTCAAGATTGCCGCCTTCGGCGAGCGACGCAACGAGTATCATGACAAGTTTTTTGGCGATGCGTGGCACAGGGGAGAGGCTCATCGGGAGCAAGGGAACTCGATCGCTGCACCCCATGATTTGGGCGCCCGCTCGGGAACCGCATCCGAAGAAGACCCGCAGGCCAGCAAGCCAAACTGTTGTGTTGGTCGGAATCTGAGGGCGCCCGGAGGGGTAGATGGACCTACCGCTGCCGCGCCTGGTCCTTCGCACCTTCCTCGCGCCCTTGGGGGCGATCAAGCTGACTCGCATGCGCCCGATCAAGGGCCCATCATGGGCCGTTTTTGTTTTGCCGCAGGATGCGCTTGCCATCGCGTGGAGTTTGGTGCTCGACGATCGCATCTCGTCATCTCAGCGCCATGCAGTTGACCCCCGATGCGTGTGTTCAGTCGCCCCCCACAGGTAAAGACGAACCGCTCGTCAACTTCCAGATTCCTTCCGACACGTGGGTGACTGCCCGCGTCGAGACGGGGCATGTTATTTTTCCGCCTCCTTCCCCTGATTTTGCTGCTTGCGTGGCAGCGAGGCTCGGGTCCAAGTTTGCGAGCCAGGTTTCTGCCCTGCTTGCGACATGGGTTTCGGTGCTGGGGAAGACTACATGCGGTCCATCATTACTGGCGCGCACCTTTGGCAGGCATTTCTCGCTCGCAAGGCCGCCGCTTTGTCGCGCAAGAAGTCAGGGCCTCTCAGAAGGCCCGCCTTGTGGCGCACCCCAATATTGTGGCGACTTGGTGGGAGAAGGCACGCTCGGTATTGGGGCGTCGCTTGGGACACAGGGCCAAGGGGAATGACGTTGTTCAGCGCGAGCAAGCTCGGGCTGCCTGCAGGCACTTACTCCTCGGGGCCCCTGAGAAGGCTCGCGCGGGGATTCGTCTTGGTTCGGAACCCTGCTGGGACTCTTTGTGCCAGTTGTTGCAGAGAGGGGCTCCGGTGTCCTCCAG